TATGTATACTAAGAAGAGTGTATTTGAGATTTTGATTGACATTTTGAGACTTTTTAAAACACATAATTTTTTAAGAATTTTTTTGTTTAATAAGAATCCTTAGAAATCTCATGTCTTTGATGTGATTTGCTTTGGTCTTTTCTCCTCTTTCGTCTTATGGGTTTTTGCGGCTTAGTGTACGAAGATAACCTCGTTTGCCACGATCTGTTGTATCTATTCTTACGGTGGGCATTCAGCCGAGCCATCCTCGTATTCTTTCGCGCAATCGTCTGCCAAATCATATCCACAGCATCGTTCGCCTCAGAAGGGAACCGATACTCGAAATGCCCACTCACTTCCTTCAATTTTTCCCAGATCTCGACTTCATCGGCTCATGCGGCGACTGCAAATTCGCATTGCTCGAGAATCTCGACGCCGCCACCTCCCATTCCCCGGACGCGCACCGCCGCCACCCCCAAGCAAGACTCAGAACAAGGCATGGTTCGAAAAAAAAGGTATTCGAGGTTCAGGTCGAAATGGCTCGAAAATGATTGATTTTATCAGATTGAAACCAATCTTGAGTTTGAATCCATTTAAATTTGACTTTTAGAATAAAATATTGTGGAAAAAGATGAATTATAATTGATTTGGTATTTGTATTTTGTATTCCACATATAAGTAATTCTTAAATCTAGACAAATCTAAATGATAAATAAATTGAATATCTCATGTCTTTTTAAGACTTTGTAAAATCCTAAATAAATACACAAATTATATCTTTCGTCAATACTTTTTGAAAATCATTAGATATTAATAGGTTAGAGACTTGCGACTGGATTGATATGAAATAGTATCTCTCCCCACAAAAGCATTATGTTTTGCTAGGAATGAACAAGATATTGAAGAATTGTCAAAAATCATAATTACTGATACGGGTCTTTTCCACGGGAAAGGAAAATCATGTCTTACAATAGAAACATAAGTGACGTGGATTATTTTTAAAAAATGTATTTTTTAAATAATGTATTTTTCTAAGAACTCTTTACAATAGTTTTGAAAACCGATATTGGGAAAACCCTTCCGGTGATTCAAAACTTTTCCCCAAATCCGACCAAAGCTTCCTCCTCATCAGATTGTTCCGCCTTCCTCGGTGACGGAGATGTCACGGCCCGTGGTCGTCCTTGACCACCTGGTTCACTCCTGGTGACGCGCGCCCCTTAGATGGCCATGGAAGCTCAGCGGTCGGAGGTCCGTTTGATTGGTTGCAGACGGGGCACCAGTTGGTGGTGGTGACCCTCCTGGTCGGCGTCAGGCCGTCGATTCAAGTTTTCCCCTCAATTGCTGGTGGGAGCTGTTCTGTGGAGGTAAGCCATTAAATTTTCTTTTGTCTGCGGTCGATGGGTCGCGCCTTTCCGGTGGGGCTTCGCCGTTATGGTGGTGCCTGACCTCAGGAAGTTGGTGCTCTGTGGTCGTTTTGAGCGGTGCGTGAGCTGACGGGTGGGGCGGGACTCCGGTGCTGCGGCAGTCCTGTTGCAACGGTTAGGGTTGAGGGTGTGAGCCACTCTCACCCCCCTGTGCGGTTAGTGGTGTTAGGCGGCGGGGGATGGGTTCTCTCGAGCTCGGCTAGTGGTGTTTGACGAGTTCGGGTGGGTCTGATGTGGGGGTTGGCCGTTGCTCTCTTATTTGGGGACGGGTCGACTCCGGGATTGGTTCTGGGGTTCGGTTAATTCTATTGTATAGGCGTTATCGCAGTTTCAGTAGCCGTTGCTCGAGCCTGGAATCTTTCTTGTGTCGATCGTTCACTGCGGGTCTGGCTCTTTCGTTTGCTGGGGAAGGACTCTGTTTTGTTTTCTTTTATTTTGTTGCTTGAGTCTGTGTTAGTTATATATTTTTGTCTTTTTTGTCTGGGTTCTTTACCCAAGTGTTTTATGTCTTGTTTTTTTTTGTCTGGGCCGTTGACCTCTGTGTGAGCGGGAGCAATTGATTATCCTGTGGGGACCAGCTCATGTCTCTATTCTTCTGTGGGGAGCTTTTCATTGTAGATTTTCTGTGCGTTTTTTGAGTGGTGGTTTCGAGTGTCTTGTTTTGGTTTCTAGCGGTTGCTAGTGTCGGGCTTCTAGGCGGTCGTCAGACCTGTCCCCCCATTTTATTCAGCTTTGGGCTGCGTTCCAAGTTGTATCTTTGCACATTTCTGCGTTTATTATACAAAAATTTTCTATTGTTTCGAAAAAAAAATAAACTCTTTACAAATTTAAAATAAATATTTCTATTTTCATTTTAATATTTTTATAATGAATGTTTTTTATGTTGTAAAACTAAAGTTTATTTCTTAATAAATTCTTAGAACACACATGCAATGACGTATCTGTATTGGGCCCAGGCCCCCTGATTTTTTTGAAAAAAAATAATAATATATATGTATAATAATAAAATATATATATAGTAATGATTTAATCTTTCGGCCTCTTAATTATAAATCAATTTAGTGATTTAAACCTAATATTTAGTTGGACTGTTACATTTTTTAATGTTGATGTTTGTATTTTTTTTTTTGTAATCACATATTTTTAAATTTATTTATTTTCTGTTTAAAAGGAATTTTCATTTGATAAACTCTCATCAACAAAAATGATATCAATGTTCTACAAAAGTTCAAATTTAAATCAAATATTTAATAAAAAAAATTATTTTTTCATAAACTATAGATGTTGAACTTAAATTATAAATACATGAAATATCATTTTTTTGTTTATTTTTCTAAAAGTTTGAGTGTGATACGAATTCTAAGTTTTGAAAAACTTGATGGTACATAAATCGATATTTATATTTATATACAATTTTATATAAAATAAATGTTTCGACTTAAACTATAAATTTGTTATAACATTTAAAATTAGGTCCCCTGAATGAAATTGCTAAATCCGTTTGTATCAAGATATGTAATATATAGCCGTACATATATGAGCAGGTATATACATAGTGCCAATGTCAAATACAAAACAATTGTTATTTGGCTTGTGCTCTGCACTTGATCTCATAGACAAATTCAAAATCAATATATTATTTTCCATATTTGACTCTATAACTTCTGTATTTTTTATCTATTTAATTTACTAATGATGTTGTATTAGTTAACTATGAGAAAGTGTTCCTTAAAATCTATTTTTTATAACTACAATCGTCCCAAACCGATACATATTTCCCGATGCCTCTTTATTTATTATTTTCAGAAATTAATATACTTAAAAAATTTTATAAATAACAATAGATACATATATAATTTAGGAGCTTCAACTAGAATCTACAAATAAGTAAAACCAGGTTTGTAATAAAGCCTGGTTTAAAATATGAAGCCAATTATATATGATTTAAGATATGAAGCAATTAAACCAAAAAAAAAAGTGGTTACCTGACAGATATCACACTTGGGTATAGTGGAGGCGAAGAGGCGGAGACGTTGATGGTCAGTGGTGTTATGAATTCGGAGATCACAAAAATTGCAAAAAGCCTTCTCTTCCGAACAACACACCACTTCTGCCGCAGCTGCACCACACACATCACAACCTATTTGCATCTTTATTTTATTTCATTTTTTTGTCGAGTTTACGTACAAATAGATGGATACTCACACCTTACCCTACTTGCACATATATATATCTATATATCGCCAAGTGGCAGACTAGCTGTTGCTTGGCACTATTTTTTATATTTGGTTTTTGGTATGCGATTGAGGATATGTATCATAACACTCGCTTTGAATTATTTATAACATATCCTTTGTTAGAGTAATCCCGCATATATCAACAAATTATAATATTTATATCCAATAATATGTTATATTTATAAAAATAATAAATAACTTATTATATAATTTTAATAGTTATTATTATTATTATTGTTTTAATATACATAATGTATTTTCACTAAATTATGCATTTCTGCATGACCGACGTAACATAATGAATTTTCATATATGTTTCTTCCATCGTTAAAATAAAAGGACATAGGTGAGTTAATTGTCCTCCAGAAAATTTAAAACCAAATAAGTCAAAAGTATATATGAATTTGAAATGATTTCGATTTCCAAATGAATTATGATTCTCTGGAAAATTTAAACCAAATAAGTCAAACGTTTGAAAAGGTGTGATTTTTAAAATACCATGTATGTAGAGATTTTTTAATTTCACATTGAACCAAATCCTTCATTTTACAAAGTTTATATCTAAAAAACATGTGCATTTGTGTTTTTGAATTTGAATTGCATACAATTTGATATACACCATAAAAAAAAATTATGTGCATTCTTGATTTTGAATTTCAAGATACATACAATTTGATATACAACAGATTTTGACGTTGATATTTTGAAATTTTAAGTTGAACAAAATCTTTAATTTGAGGAATGATTGCAAAATTCACCAAAATGTTGAAAATCGGTCCAAAATTTTTAGAAAATAGACGCCATCAATGGCAGCCGCGGGGAGAAAAGGAAAAGGAAAACGTTATTTTTTTTTAAAAGATAATGAAGAGTTTTGTTAGTAACTAGTACAGAGCCCGTGCGATGCACGGGGTGCACAATTTTAAGGCTATTTATCCAGACTTATAATTATATACATGAATAAAGAAACCTGTACGGGATATATATAGTACGTGACCCGTGCGAAGCACGAGATATATTTATTTGGAGAATATTATATTATAAGATGCAATATTCAATAAAAGTTTATAATACGCAAGAAACTGTACAATGTTCAATAAAAGTTTTATAATATTCAAGTGGAGTCTTAAAGTCTCTTGTACATTAAGACTACTGACAAAATAATATTTTAATCAATGAGTTTCCTTTCCTTGTAGCCAAATTGTGAATGTGATTTGAGGAGTACAACAAATCGATATATAGCTGACTTGCTTTTTTCATTGTAGTTTTTTTTTTTTTTTTTTTTTATAATGAATTTAAAGATATTCTAAAATATAGCAAAAATTAATTTTTTTATTACAATTAGGAATTTTACTAAATATAAACTCTCAATCTATGGTGTTAATCAACGTTTAAGTCTAAAAAATTAGGAATTTTTACCTCTTTTAATCAACGTTTAAGTCTAAAAAACAATAGAGTTATTATAAGTTTTTTTTTTACATCTTTTAAAACATTAAATATGAGCATGTTAGGGCTAGCTTGTAAAATAATTAATATATTATCTCACTAAAACATTTATACTAATAAAAATTTAATTTTAGCATATAAATTTATCCCTTGATATAAGAGAAAGTAACAGTTTTACTTATTGTTGTTCACCATATAATATTTAATTATTATTTTATTATATAATAAAAAAGAAATATTGTTAAATAGTGTAGTAGAATTGTTATAAAATTATATGATTTTTTTTTTTTTACAATATGGATTTAATATTTTTTTTATGATTTGATAATATAAACAAATCTATACTTAACTTTGACAAATAAAACAAATAAATACTTTAGTAAGTATTTAATGTATATACTAAATAGGAATATATTTGGTATAATCAAATACCAAATATAATCAAATAAGTCAAAGTGTACATATTTATTTGGTATTTGATTTTTTTTATTATTAAAATCTTTTTATTATACTTACCTTTTTAAAAAAATAAAACAAATAAATAAATCAATTAAATAAATAAAATATTATAATACCAAAATAGTAATGACATTTAATGCAGTTGACTTTTCTGGATAGTAAATGTAGTAAATAGAATATCCTTTTATATAGTATAATACGGAAATAGTAATGCAATAAATGCTGTTGACTTTTCTGGCTACTTAATTTGGTAAATAGTACCCCTTTAATATAAGTATAGATTTAATATTCATAACTACAAATTATATATGTAAAATAGCAATGGAAATCGTAAGTTAACCAATGGTATATCAATTAATTATATTGCAATTATATTGCACCGCAATAATATTGTTGTAATAGAAAACGTAGCAAGAATACAAACAGGTGAATTTACTTCAAAACCCCCACAGAGCCAATACAGATCTCACTATCCTTTGCTCTGCTTTTCCACCGGCGGTGGTGGTGGATGGGCGGCGGCGGTTCTTGCCGCCGCCTGGCGGCTTTGGCCGCGGGGGGCCCAGCTGCGGAGGTAATCAACGAAATATAAGACGATGCACAGATATGAGGCGACCAAGCAATGACGAGGAGCACAATTGCATATGCTTTCATCTTGTTTTTGTAGTAATTAGTATGAATCCCGTGCGATGCACGGGTAAGAGATGTTCATTAATATTTTTAAATTAAAAATGTTCATTAAATAATATTTATAATTTAAAAATATGGAATCAATTTGTAATACAATTCACCTATATTAATTTATTTAAAATATTATATGAAATTTAAATTGAGCAAAATTACATAAATCATGTATATATAAAATTAGGCACAACTCATACAGTGTAGGTAACTGATAATAAATTATATAATATTTCCATAAAATAACTATTTGATAAAATTTTACCATAAATTTAAAATTTCATGTGAATAATAAGTATAATATTAAAATTTATATTGTTTTATTATTAAAATAAGTTTATTTTTGCATAAACTATCCAAATCAAAAAAATTAAGTAGTTGAGTAATTTATTAAACTATAAATAACTGAATATTCTATTTACATTCAAATTAATATTGACTCATAAGGTATGAAAAATTATTTGTTTGAATTTTAAATTTCGAACCTATATTTGGATTATACAATAAATCTCCATATATATATATATATATATGTATATATATATATATATTATCAATCTCGAAATTTTATTAATTTGTTGTCAATTACCTTGTCATTCAAATTTATCAACTAATTCTCTTGAATTAAATTACAAATATTAATTTTTATTAACAAATATTTGTTCAAAGATCTCTCTAATTTTCAAGAGAAATACATACCAATTGTTGAATTATCATCAAGATCTTATGGCTATTTCTTATTGGAATATGCTAAAATTTGAAAAGCATATCACTTTGATTTTATAACAAATCAATCTAAAATTTGATTTTCATACCCATGCAAAATAATTCATATCACTTATTTTATTTCCAAAATTTTTAAATACACTTCTATCCATACCAAATAAAATACATACCATTTATATTTGAACATTTCATACCAAAACAAAATTATTCTCTTTTTATTCATCATAATACTCAATTATTATTTTATTATAAAATTTATTTTTAATAAAATATGTAATAATTGTTTAAATTAACCACCCAATTTTATTATGTAAAAATATTTTGATATTTCTAACAAACTAAATTTTATACTTTTATAGTTTACGCAACACGAAATTTTATTTACGCTACGTAGTGTAAGAACCAAAATGCGACGAATGATGTTATAAACATTTTCAAACACTAAAAGGTATAAAATTCTATATGAATGTTTGTTAAGGCGAGATTACATTATTTATGGGAAAGCCTGTGCGTCAGGCACGGCTAAAAATTTTAAATATTGATTTGTTAAAGTTATGTGGATTATATTGATATGTAAATACATATTTGCTATAAATAAAAATAGTTAGTGTTTGTCATATATATTTCATATGAATTGTTTGGGCTATATAATATCAATGTATTTTATGATTTAAGATATATATGGCTTAAATAAATAGAATACATAACATGGAGAGATATTTGTAAAATTTACGGAAACAATTTTTTCCTTTTTTTCTTTAAATATTTCTATAAATATATTTATTAACTACACAATATATGCACAATATAGGACCAAAAATCCGAGACAAAATGCCACTTACATTTTAATTATTTCCAACTACTACATACCAAGAGTCCTGTCCAAAAAAAAATATAGAAAATCTCTAATTAATTTTTCCTTCCGAAATAGAAATATCCTACATAAATGTAGCAAATGAAACCATAAGTTCTCTTTCATTATTCATTGTTTTTAATAGATAGTACTACAAAACACCATGTTCATAAATGTATTATTTTTTGGTGACTTGAATTCACCATAAGAAATTACATCGGTTGTACGTACTATCTAAAAAAAAATACTTATTTTGTTTAATACAATAAATCAACCCAGAATCTGAATAAAAAAAATTGGCAAATTAGCATAATCTTCAACCCTCCCTCCATATGGCAAGTTATGGATAATCCTTTGAAGATTCACCATTTATTGAAATTAAAGAATCTGAATCAAACAAATTGGCAGGTAAAAAAACGTGTGATTTCCATATAGACATCAATTTAACCTAAAATAAAATAAAACTTATGATTTAAAAAATAAACATATATAAAAATTGAATTGGAAAATCAATAAATGTCCTCCAACATTTTTTTAATCTATATGTATAAAAAATGTGTATTTCCCTGAAATAGTAACTAAAATCCTGCCAAAAAAAATCAAACTTACATTTATTATTAATTTTTTAAAACATTTTTGAAAAATGATGGTCAATTATTTTAAATTCAAATTAATATAACTAATCTACAGAATAATCTTGGTCAAATATTGTGGCTATTACTTTTTTTGTTAATTGCATGTTTTAAATTTGGTATATAATATGCTAACAGAAAAACAATTTTTTTTTACTAAAATCAAAAATAAAATGGTAAGATCTTCTCCCACTCACAAATGTTAATGTGGGGCAGTGAATAGAATTTTTTTGCAAATTGGGATGCTAATTTTTTAATTAAACAACTAACTTAATTTTTTGCATGACAGAAATTTGTTTCCATAATGATTAAATATTTCCAAAAACACAAAACTTAATACAATCTCGGCCAGCTAATCAGTTTGATCCTTCATTTATATTAAAACTAAAATCGAAATTTGTTTCCAAAATATCGGACATATATGTGACCAATTAGATTCTCTTCAATTTTTTTTACCTTTTTCGATTCAAATTTCAAAAACACCGGCCCTTTCCAAAATTTTCTAAAAGTTACTAATAAAAGTAAATATAAATTATTTTGGCGGGATTTTAGTTGCTATTATAAGTAAATGTCAAACTTTTTTATATTTATATAGATGTAATTATATAGATGTTAAGATAAGTTGGAATATATCCAAAAAAATATCCAAATTTGTTACCTAAAAAATTGGAATTCCTATGATTTCATAGTTGAGAAAATCCGGTGGTTTCCTGAATAATTGGAAAGAAAATACGGCCAAATTGTTTATACTGGAATGATTCCAGTATTTTGTTTTAGTGTTTTTTGCCTGATTCTATTTTGGAATGATTTAAAATAAACAAAAATCAAAAAATAAATTATTTTTGTATTTTTGTAATTGGTTTCCACAAATGAGAAGTCAATGGGGTTGTTGACCAGTCTTTTAAAAGTTTCGACAAATAATTTATTGATATCTCTTTTTTAATATATATAGATATAGATATGTAAAAAACACAGCTAAATGATGTATAATAATTTTGTTTCTGTGTTCATATCAACCCGTCCAAAACATTTTAGAAAAACATTTTTACAATTTGAGTACTATTTTATTTTTCTTTTAAAAATATACAATATTTGTTGACATTTTTATTTTATCTATCCTATTAAATTGTTACGACATCTTCTACAAACTTTCATGAAACACCCGACTTAAAAACTTGAAGAGTACAGCTACTGACGTATCAATGTGTATAACGAAATTTACTGTGAAAGCTCTTCCACCGTTCAAATTAACTCACAGTTGGAGTTGTTTGGCGCTTGTGAGAATAGAGGGTGAACAATCTTTTATACTATACCAATTATTCATTAAGCTCAGATAGATCAATTTTGAGTTATTGATGAACCGCTGACAGCTTGGAAGTTCAATTTGAGAACTCATTAGTTGAAAAGGAGGAAAATTGTAAAATCTAACCTATTTTTGGGTCCTAGTGGTTAAAAAATCTGTTAAATAAAACCGAGTTTGACACGATTTTGATTGATCTTATAAATATTTTATTTGGGTTGAATTAGATTTTGCAAAAATTGAATTTTAGTCAGCCATTTTTGCAAAAAACATCCATCATATAGAGGTTGTCTTCAAAAAAAGGTCCACCATGTTGCCACTTTCATTAAGTTTTGTACAATTTTCGGAATGGATTGATAGAAATGCTGATGAGGACGAATTAATTTCTCACGTGGAAGGATAATTTCTGATTGTGGATTAATAATTGTGACATGGATGGATGTAGAAATTTTTTAAAATTATTAATAGACCAAGGATCAGTTATTCTTAAAAACTCTCAAAATCATTGATTTACCTAAGCCTAACTATAACTTTTGAAATAACAAGATAGTTCCTAGAACTTATCAGGTTTTCAAAAACGAGTTCCTACAATCCCAAACCTATTTGAGTCTTGTCTTCACCCATCCGCCTCTATCACACGACCTTCGATCGGCCGCTGATTCCTAGAACCACGTGAACCCCATGGCGACTTGCAAGAGACGCAACACATCGTGAAGTACTTCAAGGCAAAATTGGATTTCATGCAGAGGCCAATTCAAGGAACAAATACAGTTTGACTAAGTTGAGCTAAACTCAACGGAATTACACCAGTGAGGTTGTTGTGAGACAAATACAGTTCAACTTAGCCGCTTAAATTCCTGATGGTGGTCGGACCAGAGCCGTTAACGGAGCACAACCTTAGATCAAGCACCAGGAGTGAATCGAGATGCAGGCCAAGCCACTCATGGATCCACCTGGAAGCACAATATTCGAGGCGTTGAATGAGGACAAAATAGTCAAATTCCAGAGCGCGTCGACAAAGGGGTTGGAGACTCAGAAGAATGGCGGAGTGAAAGTAGGACAATCATGTTATTATCATTGTTGGATTTTTACCTTTTTTTGGTCTGCCATGGAATTGGAACCAAAAGAGGCACATTATTTTCGTACTTAACATGTATGTATTTGTCATACTATTATTACATTTTTTTTATATCTTGTTTATATGATGTGATGAAATGACTTAAATTTAATATCAATATATGTATAACTTTTGTGATGCAGAAGGATGCTATCAAAACTTTCTTGGTCAGGATATTGGCTAATAGTTGGCGAATTTTTTACTAGGAATATTAGTTGCTTTTCTTGAATTTTTGGAATTGGAGATACGATTCTTTCATGATTTTGTGCTATATTATTCTCTTGTACATGCGTGAAATGTTAAAATTGGTGAATTGTGTTTGTAAGTTTTTGTTATATTTATGTGGAAAATTTGCATTTTTGGTCCTGCTGTTTTGGCCTCGTGGCAATTTTAGCCCTGGGATCGGAGCATTTTCCTATTTAGTCCTGTAACTTTCAAAGTCAATGCAATTTTAGTCCTTCCGGTGCCCAAAAGTCAACAATGCGGTCCAATTTGTTATGTGGCCCGCACGTGACGCCCTCATGGCCGATCTCCTCTGACTTGGCAAGCCAGGACGCGGACGTGGCACCGAAACTAATTCAAAAATACATAAAAAAAACATAACAAAAATCCACGTGGCAATTGAATTAGTTAAAAAAAATTAAAAAAACGACAAAAAAAACACGTAATCATTTATTAATGGAGGGAAAATTAAGGGCAGATGAAACGTTATTTGAGAGGATCAAAACCCTAATCTTCATTCCATTGGGTTTTTCCAGAACACAATTGCAGAATGAAATTCGATTTCAGAGCATGAAAGGTCGTTCTTGAGAGAAGATTCTAGAGAAATTTCACTTCAGATAGACGACGATGAGACAAAGGCCGATTGAGTGAGAAGGAGATAAAGGTCGATTGAGTGAGAAGGTTGATTGAACGATCGTGAAGATGGTGAAGTCAATAAGGATTAGGTCAAAGGAATATTAAGACGCAGACATCCCTGCATACGGTGAGTTTAATGCAATTTTGCCTTTTTCATTGATACCCCTGTTTGTGTGTTTTGTTTTTGTATTTGTGTTTTTTTTTTAATAATGACAAACTCTCTGTGTTTGTTTGTTTGTCTTGTTTCTTTATTTGTTTGCTTTTTAGGTCTGTTCTCCGTAGATCGTAGTAGTGAGTTTTTTACAGTAACTATGTGGTGTGGTGGAACATTTCAAACAGAAGGTTTTGTGTGTTATAAAGGAGGGTCTAAAATGACATTTGATTTTGTCCATATGAGGTCCTTGAATAATTCCACATTGAAGAAAATGTTTGACAAATTTGGTGTTGTTGGTAGTAAGAAGTACTTCTTATTGATTGGTTTGGGTTTCAAGCCACTGCTTGATGATGAAGACATTAAAATAAGGGCTTTATGTCATAAATATGGTTGTAGAGAAATGACTTTGTATGTTGAATGAAGGTACATTCAGTCATTCCAGTTTGTCCATGGATGGGGGATGAATTAATTTCGATTCTGATTCTGAGAGTGGGAGTGAGTCTGAGAGTGGTTCTGAGAGTGGGAATGGTAATGGTGCTGAGAGTGAAAATGAGAGTGAAAAAAATGAAAATAAGAGTGGGAAGGTTAGTGGTTCTGAGAGTGAAAAAAATAAAAATGAGAGTGGGAAGGGCAATGGTTCTGAGAGTGGAAAAGGTGGTGATTGTGAGAATGAAAATATTAAACATGAGAGTGGGAATTTTGTTGGTGAGAATTTAGATGTTGAAGAAAATGAAAATGAACAGAGTGAACTAGAGAGGCAAGAAGATGAGGATGATTTTCTTGATACTGATTATGATTTCAGAAATAGTAGCAGTGATGATGATGATGCATTGTTTAGCGAGAATGTGGATGCAGGGGCTAGTGGGGATGATGGAGATTCTAGTACTGATAGTGATGATGATGTGGTTGAGGTTCCTGATGATTTAGATGAACTGAAGGTAGTGATGATGAAGATGTGGATCCTCCTGTGTTTAATTCTAACCAAGTGTGGGATCTTGTGTTTGATATTGGGATGGTGTTTGCAACTAAAGATGAATTTAGAAAAGCCATCCAATCACATTCAATTAAAACCAACAGAAACCTTAAGACAAAAAAAAAATGATAAGATAAGGGTGTATGTGAGATGTGTAGATGAAGAGTGTAATTAGATGATAAACCTATTGAAAATGAAGGATCAAGCCAGTTTCCAAATTAGGGAATACAATCCCATTCACTCTTGCTCTAAAACTTTTGAGGTTCAAAACATCAAATCAAAGTGGCTAAGTGAAAAATTCTTAAGCCATTTTCAAACTGATCCTAAATCAAGTGCTAAAGGCTGGAGACTTGATATTATTAACAACCTTAATGTTAATATATCAAAGGATCAGGCCTATAGGGCTAAGAGAAGATCCTTGTCACAACTTGAAGGAGAGCCTGATGATCAGTATTCTCAATTGTGGGATTATGCAGAGGAGTTGAGAACTTCAAACCCTGGGTCAACTGTTGTTCTTGCCACTGAGAAGTTTGATGGTGAGGAGAGATTTAACGAATTTTATGTTTGTTTTAATGCTCTTAGAGATGGGTTCAAGAATGGGTGTAGGCCAATTATGGGTGTAGATGACTGTCATTTAAAGGGTCCACATAGGGGGATACTCTTGACTGCAGTAGGTGTAGACCCAAACAACACATTGTTTCCCATTGAGGGACTGAGTGTTTTGAAACACGGGAGTGGTTTCTCATAATTCTGAGGAAAGATTTAGGCATTTCTAGGCCTGAGAAGTATACCTTCATTTCTCATAAGCAGAAGGGGCTTATCAAAGCCTTTGATGTTGTCTTCCCTGGGGCTACTCACAGGTTCTATGTGAGGCACCTTCACAACAACTTTTTGAAGGCTGGGTATAGGGGTTTGGCCTATAAGTATGCTATGTGGAGAGCAGCACAAGCAACCACTGTTGGTGAGTTTAATACAAGGATACTTGAAATTAAAAAGATGAGTTCTGATGCTTTTGATTCATCTTGATAAACCACCACAGCAATGGTCATGAGATTTTTTTTCTAAACTGCCAAAGTGTGACATGTTGCTCAATAATGTGTGTGAAACATTTAACTGAAACATTCTTGAAGCAAGGGAAAAGCCCATTATCACTATGCTTGAGTGGATTAGAGAATACATATGCATTAAGATGCAGAAAAAAAAGAGATAAGGCAGTGTTGAAGTGGAAGAACAAAATTTTCCCTAACATAAACAAGATCCTTCAGAAACACTTGTCACATGTATCTGACTGCATGCCAATTAAATGTGATGATAGGCACTATCAGATTAAGTGTTATGATGGATCACAGTTTACTGTTGATTTGGAGAAGAAAATTTGCAGCTGTAGGGTATGGGATTTGGGGGGCATTCCTTGTAAGCATGCTTGTAGTGCCATAATAGCTCAGAAGCCTGTACCTGTTGACTTTGTAGATGGTTGTTATTCACAAGAGTGTTATAGGAATGTGTATAGGGGGTCAATACTAGGCACAAATGGTCCTTCATTATGGAGACATACCCTTTTTGTTCCTCCTTTACCTCCCAACTTTGGGAGGGGTGCTGGAAGGCCTTTAAAGGCAAGAAGAAGAGATCAAGAAGAACCTAAAAAGAAAGGGAACAAGAGGAGAGGGAAACAATCAATGAAAATGAAGAGGAAACAGCCAACTGTGAGGTGCAAAAAGTGTGGCATGGCTGGCCACAATGCAAGGTCTTGTGAGAAAAGAAAGGAGAAAGAAATGAACACTCAAAGCCAAAACCAAAGTCAAGTAACTCAAGAAGTGGACAACTCTCCATTGAAAAGGGCTTTTGATACAATTGTAAGTTTTCTATTAAATGTTATAAGTTATGTTTTTTTATTTTTTATTCTATGTTTATGCGACTTCACTTTATGTTATTGAATTGATCTATTTCTTTGAATATAGCTTGAAAGAAAAAGAGCAAGAGCTGTTGCTGACAGAGGTAAAAAGAAAAGGGCAAAGATGGCCAAAGTTGGGACAGAACAATCCTCACATGTAAGTGTTCATTACACTCATTTAATTATCCATTTATCTATAACAAATTCACTTCTGAAACCAATTGTTCCTAACCATATTTCTTTAATTCAATCATTTTTTCAGAATCGTACACTTTTGCCACCAGTGATAAGGCATGAAGAAGAAGATGAGGAGCTGCAGTCATTGTGTGAACTCATTGATGAGTATGAAAACCCTAGAGTTGACCATCAGCCCGGGCCTACCCCTTACCAACAGCTGCAGAGTTCAATGAAATCAAGAGATGAAAACTAAAAGTGTTTGTAATTGTTGGAAATTGTTGATGGTCATTAAAACTGCTGAAGTTGTGATGTGTTTTGATGGTTTTTGACAGTTTAGGATGCTTTTGGATGGTCATTGAAACTGTGGTGTTTTTGGATAGTTTTGTATAGTTTTGGATGATGATTTTTGGATGGTTTAGTTTGCCTTTAGATGTGTAATGGTGAAATTTGGATTATGCCAGTGTAAAACAGGTTTATGGATGTTTTGGAATTGAAGTTATGAAATTTCGCAAGTTTATGGGTTACCAATGTGTTCATTCAGGTTAATGTATGTTAATGGATGGTTTTTTGGTTATGAAATTATCAGTGGTTTTTGTATGAACTTTCATGTACCATTTCAGGATTAACTTTGAACTTTCATAAACATGGTTGAAGTAACAGGCATTAACATTCAATTTGTTCAACAGCCATAAACAAAGCAAAAATGAAATCAAGCACCTTAACATTCAATAGTAACAGCCATAAACACCCTGCCAACATTCAACAACAAAGCAACAACCAACATACAATAACATTCACAACATACAATAACATACAACATACTTTCATTACAACAAAAGTGAATTCAAACAAAATAGTTCAACAATTGTTCAAAAATAATCACAATCCCCATTGGCAAATAACAAACAAGAAGTTCAAACATAACAAAGCTAGTCCAACAATACTATTTTCATCTTCACACTAACTAAGCTAGTCCAACACTACCCTTTTCATCTTCACAGACTCAGTCAGTTCAATTTCTTCTTTAAGAACATATACAGAAACAGAGTCACAACCCCCATGAGCAACCAAAATTTGGCCTTTTTAGTGGACTTCAACTCCCTTTGCCAATCCGAGATCTCTAACTCCAGCTTCTTCTTACATTCAACTATTCTAATGTTTTCCTCTCGAAATACTTCAATCTCAGCACGCAAATCATTTGATTTTCGCAACAATCCAAGAATCATTTCCGCGGACTTCAACTCCATTTGCCAATCTGAGATCTCTAACTCCAGCTTCTTCTTGCATTCAACCAATCTTGTTTTCCTCTCGCAGTTCTTCATTCTCATCACGCAAAACATTTGATTTTTGCAATAATCCAGGAATAATTTTCGTGGACCTTCTACACATAGGAGGATCAACCCAAGTGAAAAAATCACACTCTGGGTTTCCTTCTCCCTACATTCAAAGAAAAATAGGAACAGTTTTGCCCCAAAAAAAAAATGTACCAGAAAAGAATATCCACTTACCTCGTACTCAATGCAAGAACGAAATCGGTGGCCAGGATTTTCAGATGTCCAAGAGGTTCGAATGACTGACCTTTCACCGCAATAGCAGTACTATGATCCCTGTCATATGAGTTCGACGATATTTATGTGCGAATTTTGCAAATATGGGGATTAGGGTTCTTAGTTTGGGTTTGGGAATTTAGGGTTATGGGGGGACGATAAATTTGGGGCTAAGTTTGAGAATTGATCCCATTTTTTCCAATTCTGCATATTTATATGCATTACCTGTGCCCTCGTGGGTTTTTTTATGTTTTTTCTGTATTTTGATTTAGTTTCGGTGCCACGTCCGCGTCCTGGCTTGCCAAGTCAGAGGAGATCGGCCACGAGGGCGTCACGTGCGGGCCACGTGACAAATCCAACCGCAATGTTGACTTTTGGGGGCCAAAAGGACTAAAATTGTGTTGACTTTGGAAGTTATGGGATTATATAGGAAAATGCTCCGATCCCAGGACTAAAATTGCCACGAGGCCAAAACAGCAGGACAAAAAATATAATTTTGCCGATTTATGTTTGGGTTGTTTTTTGTTGGTTCTTCTTGGTACATGGGGTTTACGATTTAAGTATCTTGATTCTTGTTTACTGGTACATAGGATTAATGAATAGTTAAATACTGACCCAAANAAATACACATGGATAGCGCTTGTTTAGAAAAGTGCTATATATTATCACCATTTCGGATAGAACTTCTGCTAAAAAATTGTTATCTTATCAATATTATAGAACGCTTAATACAGAAAAAAGTGTTATTTGAAAGGTACTTTACATAACGCTTAATATAAAAAAGTGTTATGTGAAAAGTTATTCACATAAGCTTAATATAAATAAGGGAAAACTTGCCCCTAATATCACGACCTTTATCGAAGTAGCAATTTTTTTTTCCCAAAACGACAGATTATATTATAAATCATAATGCATAAATGTGCGAATACATAGCAGCCAACAGCTGAAAACACAACAGCCAACAGCTTAAAAAGTGGGAGGACAGGTTAGAAGACCGCCTAGAGTCCCGACTAGCAACGCTAGAAAAAACTCGCGACTAAAACTAACCAACTAAACCAACTAAAACAATAAAACAACTAACAACTAAAAAGACCCCAACGGAGTAATATCCGAGTGTCGGATCCCAGTGGGATAATAAGGTGACACTCGAGTTCACAGAGGCCAAACGGCCCAGACCAAAAAACACAAGCCTAAAGAAACGACAACCTGAAACACAACCTAACATCAAATATAGAAAAACATAAACAAAAACATAAAGGGGGCACAGTCTCCCTCGCCAGGTGCACCTAGATTGACGACAGACAAACCAACTCCAACGACAGCTCCCGAGCACGAAAACAACTTCCCGCCACTGCTTAAGGCCTAGCAAGACGGGTACCCGCACCCCTGAACTAATCGAAGAGATGCCCCACACTCCTATCACGTGAAGAAACCTACACGTCTCGGCTTCACCAAATCAGCCCGACTGAAACAGCAAACCATTCATCCCAACCCGAAGCGGCTGAACACAACCAAACAGCCGAGCATAAACCAGAAGCGGCAACCGATCCCAGTAGAACCACGGCCCCCCCAATCGTGAACCTCCAATTCCAACTCGCCTAGGAAGAACCGAGAGGTCCCTCCGATCACGGACAAAATAAAAACTGAGACAAAAGCAACAGAAAAAAGGACAAACCTCCAATTGACATAGCCAAATGTCGAACAGGAAGCGGCCTCGGCAATCGCCGCTTCGCCGGTGGAAAGGCACGGTCCTGACTGGCAGCAAGAAAGGCAAGCAGGGAGAATAGGTGGCGTCCCAGTCAAAGCCAAGAGCAGCTAACCCAGCCTCGTCCATGAATCAGCACTGCACCCCGACCAGCGCCGACAGCACCTGAACTCCGGCGCGCAACCAAAACAGAGAGCTTCTCTGATCGCCGACGCTCAAGACAGAGCCCCGCTGCAGCAATTGAGACGAGGGTTGCACCTCCTATGGACGAGTGATGGAGGCCGTCCACCGTCGACCCGGACTTCCGGCGAGGGAGTTTCAATCAGCGAGATTAAAGGCTAGGGTTTCGGGCGATATTTCAGTGCGAGAGGAAAAGGGCGAGAGGATTATCAAAGTAAATTTAATCATGACATTTTAGTTTTGCAATAGCAATTTAATCATGACATTTTCAATTTTGCAAATTATATCACAATCTTTAGTTTGTTTCAAACAGTCTGAAAACAGTTATAGAAAAGCTGATGTCGTCCAACAACGAACTAAATATTGTGATATAGTATGCACGGGATATGCAAATCGGTGCACCAATTTGCAACAAACTGAAGATTGTGATATAATTTGCAAAAGTGAAAAAGTCGTGATTAAATTGTAATTTCCAAAAAGGTCATGATATTAAAGGCAATTTTGCCTATAAATAAGTGTTACGTAAAATGTTATTCACACAACGCTTAATGGTAAAAGTGTTATGTGAAAGGTTATTCACATAACGCTTTATAAGCGTTATCGGAAGAGACTGGTCTTTAGGTAACACTGACTCCGATAACGCTTAAAAGCATTATCTGTATAAAAAAAAAAGTGTTATCTAAATCATTTTTTGGCAGTGATGCTCCACCGGTGGGACCCACGGTCGCATCACCTCGTCGAGAATTCTCAGGTTCTTCGATTGTTGGTCATTCGGTAAGCTGCGCTCGTTGTAACAAGAACAAAATAAACAATGTTTGTCCTAAGACCCACGCAGAGGCCATACAAGAATGGTCTAATAAAGCAGTAAACTGTACAACGTCTTGTCGTGAGTTTAAATTATTACAATCATTCAACCAACCTAACAACGATCCTCGACATGTCCGTGGATTTATAAATACATACATAAACAATAAAAGCATACAGTCATGTGGCCATAATAATGGATCTCAGAACCGTGCAATTAAAAATGAAATTCTACTCTACTATGTGTTGCACCATACGGAAATAATTCTCGTATGATCTCTTTCAATCATTGCACAATCAATGAATTAACCATGGATCTTATACATTGGTTGGGTTTTGGGAGACATGTCAGCTGATCGTGCTTTGAATTAATTGAGAATCTTAGAAATGAATCGTACGCGAAATGAAAGTAACAATCAGATTTGAAACTTACCGTTTAAATTTTTTCTAACTTTTACAGACATACACAGCCTACGGAACCGGACAAACTATTTTGAGTCATTCTTCATACCAAACTTCTAGTCCTCTTACCTCATTTTTTGCCACGACTTTCCATGTACTCTGGATCACTGATCGCCGTCTTGTGTCGGATCGCCAATCGTCGGAGCTTGCTCGCCGCGTCATCATCATGCGTGGCCAGGGCTGAACTGTGATGTCATTGGTCTGGTTGCGCATTGGTCGCAGACCTTGTCATGCACTGGTCGTCGAGTTGGTGTCGCATGCCGCCACCAGGGTGGTGCGTCTTGTTGTCGCAGGGGCGTCGCTGCCTTTAGTGGCCTTGAGACGTATCGTGAGGAGATATATATTCTGTTTAAATATGAACAGACTACCTTGGGATCTTTTATTGTATGATCGATCACCACTCTGAGTTGTCTTGGTGGGCGACTCTTAGGATCTCGCAAAGCCTCATAATTTTCTCTCCTCTATCTCACAGTTTATCCGTTATTTTGAGAAGAGATTTTTTATCATGAACATGTGTTAGGTGTGTATAACAATCTTTGAGGCTAAGGGACTTTGTGTATTAATAGGCTACATCACAGACCCTAAGGAGGTGTTAAATATGGGCTCCCAACTATGTATCCAACTGGGCCATGCCCACGCCATTCACAGTTAAATAATATTTTATTCTACTAGAGAAATATTATTGAACTCCCCATTTAGCCCCCTAAATTACAAATAATTTCTCTCTCGGATAATTGCTCGATTTACCTCTCTAGTTTTAGGATATAACGTCCGTTGATTAATATAATTAGTAATAATATAATTATTCAACTTCTTGATCTAAAAATAGTTACAATCAAGTATTTATTATTCTATCCAAATTAAATTCACCGATCGGGTTTAACATAATAATCCTTCTTGAGCCCATTTTGGGAACGTCAACAACCCGGCACATCGGGATACGGTGACCTTAAACAATCTCAACGGCACATCATGTAATCAATATTATTTAAAAAATACCGAGTCTATCGACCTAATAGAATAAGTCTCCCCTTGGTAAATGAAATAAATAATAATTGAATACATATGCCCGTGTATTTTCTTACGGGTTAAGAGAATGCAACACTTACTGAGGTGTAGATTATTTACTTGGTTAGTATAAAATTACTTTATCCGCCTACAGGTTCGTTCAATACATTTGAGATGTACTAGTGTAGTTTGTTAGCAAAGATCAATTAACTCGAAAATCACACTACAACCATTCATGACAGTTAGTTCAATATTTGGTTTGTGAACAAATATTTATATTTTATAAGGAACCGATAATATGATCTTTTTTTACACATCGAACCATATTATCTTCAATGTAAAATAAAAGAACTATGTTCATATAAATAGATAACTGCGAACATTCACTTGACTAAAAACATTAATTTTATTCAAAATAGAATTGGGAGAACACAAAACCGAACATCTAATGTATACTCCTACATGCGAGTGTTTTGAATTGCTCTTTTTTTTTGGAATGCATATTCTCGATTTTTTACAAGGGTCGATACTTCTTTGGAAGAGAGTAACGTGTTTGACTTTATCCAAAGGTTCGTTAGTACCAAGTTTACGATGTGATTGGGTTGTTTGCCTTTTAGGGTGCATAATAGATTTGTTTCATTCACGAATCAGTGTTATTCAAAGGATGTCGCATCGGGTGTTCTTCATCCAACCAAGGGGTGGAAAAATAGGTAGAGTATTTGGGAGCGTTATACTAGATTTTCGCAAGGATTGGCGGGGTGCTACGATGGCATCTTTGGCATTTTATCAAGAGATCAGCTATGAGGAAATGTTTTTTCCGTCGACCATGAGGGATCGCTTTTTGCAAGACAATGTTTGATAATTGTCTCTTCAAATATTTTCTTTTAGGTTTTATTTATGTTTGAATGTTTTTATTAGTTTCTTGAAACTCATTTCATCACCTGTTGAAAAGAGTATAATAGTGTTAATCTTTAGAGCTCGAAGTTATAATTTAAAATTTTTGGGAGGAAATCTTTTTATCATTCAATTTGAATTGATAGTTGGCCTATATTTTGAGTACTAGACTCAAATAAACTAGTCTTAAATTGTTATTTTTTTTTTGGAGTCAATATAATTTATCATTGAGCTTGAGTTGACAATTAGACCTATATTTCTTAACCTAAGTTTATAAAATTATTTTATTTTAATGCACTCGTGTATTTGCACGGACAACAATACTAGTTGTTATGAAATATGTAACTTGAAATTAATGCATGTGGAGAAATGGAAGATCTCTATATCTTAACTTTCATATTATATTTATTGTTTTGTTATATATTTGGACTTAATTATATTTCTTTTACTTGTTCAAAATAAAAATAATAAGCTGAAGAATAAAAGTAGCAAGATGAGAATATTTGGAGAGCAAGAAACATTTACTGGAAGAGTTGAAAAATCAAGAATGAATGAAAAAAATCGAGCAAAAAATATTCTCAATAGATGACATGAAAACAGTTAAGGAAGATTCCACATTCTTGAAGGAAGAGAAGCTAACATTTGAATCTATCAAATTTGACGAGAAGAGTTATTTTGTGCATGGATGTTTGCAAGGCATGGGCATATTCTTTCTAAAGCATATCATAATCTTTGACTATGTTTCATAGAGTATAACTGAATTTTAGCGTATCGGTACATCGTTTGAATTCAAAGCTTATTTTGTTTTCTACCATATGTTTGGGACGAGTCACACAACTTCGAGGGATTCGTATCGTTTTGCTTAAGTCAATTAAGTTGGTGGTGTACAAAGTATGTTAATTAATAGAAAGTTTTAACATTTAAATTATGTTATTATATGTTGGCCAAATACTAACTTAATAAAAGAATTATAAGGGTGCTAAAAGTTCCTTTTATTAATTTGACTTCTACAAAACATGATTCACATTCCTCACGGTTAACTACTTTTCTGATTGGAAATTTCAGAATGAGAATAGTAGTTTGTGGAAGGGAGTAGCCTCTTCAACCTCTCGAAAAAACCCTTCATCCTCCTTTTTCAAAAACAGAGTACTCAGATCTAGATCTAGGTGCCTTGCGGAGCCTTCTGATCGTTCGGTGGTGATGCCCCTAGGCCTCGCGTCCCTCTCTCCTGAAGAATCGCCGCCTGGGGTGGGCTTCTTCGCCCGGGAGATGGTGCAGTTCGTCCCTGTCCTGGTTTCGCCTTGATGATGGCTCTTGGAAGGTGTGGCGGACGGCGGATTCCTGGAATTTTTTGCTTAGGCAATTCTCCAGCTTTTCTTCCGGAGAGGGATACGACTTCATTAACTCCGATTTGGGGCTTTTGGAGCAATTGGTTTACCCTTTTGCTGTGGTCGCCTCCGGTCTGGTGTTGGGCGGAGGGGCTTGTCGGCATCGTGGACCTTGGCCGGTGTTTTGTCGTCAGTTGCTGGTTATGGGTGTCGGGTGTGGGGGGGAGCCTCCAGGAATTGGGTGGGATGCATTTGGATTGGGGTTGTGTCCGTGGTGGCGGACCAAGTTAGGCGATTTCTGGCAGTTTTTGGGTTGGGTTCCGGGTGTCCGTCCTCGTCCGTGCAGATGTATGTCATTTGTTTTCGCTGCTGGTTCGATTAGTTAGACTTTCGTTGCGGGAAGGGTTAGTGTTGATGTTGTTCTAGTTTTTGTCTGTTTTTAGTTTAGTTTTGCATGTGGGTTTTGTTGCCTTGTGGGCTGTGTTTTGTTTTCTCCTCTTTTGGAGGGGAGCTTGTGTTATTCTCCTGCTGGGAGCTTGTGTTATTCTCCTATTGGGAACTTTTATTTTCTTTTCTTTTTACCTAAACCTGTCATGTCTGGACGAGGCTAAGTCGATGATCGGGAATAGCGAAGCCGTGCCATTCCTAATCTCTGTCCTCAAGAATGAAAGCAACGAGCAGTGCAAGCTGGATGCCCTCCACACCCTATACAACATACCTAGTGAGACGGCCAATATTCCTCACCTTCTTTCGGCTAGAATCATTGATGCCCTTGGGGCTGTGATTACTGAGGAGAGATGGAGAGAAAACTGCATTGCGGTCCTAATCTACTTTAGCTCGAGTAAAAGCGCACGGGACGAGATCACGGGGGCCCCTCGCCTAATTAGGGCTCTGACAAACGTGCTGGATGTGGGGGAGCCCATGAAGCAAGAGCAGGCGGCGGCCTATCTTTTGACACTGTGAAATTTGGACGATAAGTGCAGTGACATGGTGCTCCAGGAAGGGGTGATACCCTCTCTGGTGTCCATCTCAGTTAATGGGACTATGAGAGGGAAGCAAAAGGCACAAAAGCTTTTGATGTTATTTAGGGAGCAGAGGCAGCAGGACCCACCTGGGACCTGCAACGACCTTGTGGTGGAGAATCAGAGGCCGCTGTCAAAGTCGGTATCCAGGCGTAAAGTGGGTAAAGCCTTCAGTTTCTGGCGCAAGAACAAGAGTTTTTCGGTGTACCACATGTGCTGAGGCGAGTGTTTTCTATGACTCAAGAGTTAGTTGTGAATAGCAGCAGCCTGTTGTAAATCTCTTGTATTTTTTCAGTTCCGTAAAACATGTTTTGAGATGAGGCATGTGATATGTCATAATTTAGCTACTGATCTTGTGTTCGCTTGTCGCTTCTAGTACAGTTCTACCAATCTGTCCATAAAAGGGTAGCATAATATGCATCTTCTATGTCTAAGTATTTGGCTAACGAACAGGGATAAAATCTCTTTGCAATCTTCAACAAAATAAACACTTTATGTTGCAAAAGGATAAATGTTATAAAATTCTTTTCTGTTTTATAAATGTGAACTTTATTAAGGGTGGCCGATGACATCATCGGTCTGGTGTATACATAAACAAAATACTGCAACGTAGCCCTTGTATCTTTGGAAACGAGACGCTTAAACCCGTCATCACATTATGGGACGTATTCGTCTTGCGGAAAGAGTAACACTCTCCTCGGCGTACTGTATTTCTGCTTTCAAAATTTTCTTGTAATTCTCAGTTTTAGTTCTTAGGCTTAATTGCAAATAAAACCATGACCTTTTCGAAAATTGCAATTATATGCATCACTTTTAAATTTGGCAAATATATACACCACTTTTACAATTTTTTGCAATTGTATGCATTGAGGCCAATTTCGGGCTTTTATTGCCGACGTGGAGACATGGCTGCTGATATGGTGCTGACATGGGGATAAAAAATTGGTTTAATTGCAAATAAAACCATGACCTTTTCGAAAAATGTAATTATATGCATCACTTTTGAACTTGGCAAATATATAAAACTTGTATGTCTAATTCGATAGCATTTAATATATATAGACATAACGTAATTATAAGCAAATTAAATTTAAAGGATAATGTAAATTATATTTAATAATATTAATAAGATATAAATTTATAATAATTAAAATATAATAAAATAAATTGTATATATTAAATGAAAAAATAAATTAAAATAAAGTAAGATAAAATTTATTATAGTAGAGTGCATTTAAATTAAATTAAATATATTTAAATTTATATATTTCTTATTTATTAAAATAAAATTAAATATATAAATTTAGAAATAAAAAATAATAATAATAAAATTAAATTAAAGATAAACTAGATTAAAATACACTAGTTAAAATAAAATAAAAAAAACATAATATAAGATAATAAACTATAAAAAATGGTAACGTAATATAAAATAATTATAATAATAAATTATAGAAATTATTATGAATTAATAAATTAAATTAAATAAAAATCTGAAATGAATATAATAAAAAAAAATATTACTACATTCTATTTTTTTTAAATGTCATTTTGGCTTTATCAACAATTAACCAAATAAATGACGTTTTGGATCTTTTGTACATATTTGTCGATTATTATCCTCATCTAGCTAATAAATACACTACGTCTTTTCATATTCACTCTTCATCTTTTTATCAAAACATCCATCTCTATCCCATTAATGAGAGTTATTATTGACAATTTTTTTTTTTTTAATTACTGGCAACTTCTCAAAAAGACTATTGAAAATAGGAGGGAGTATTTGGTTTCTATTTTTTATTTGATTTCAAATAATATTTTTTTATTTTATTTATTTATTTAAGATTTCTATTTATTTTAATTTATTATTTCATAATAAGTTATTTGATTTATTATTTTATTTATTTCATTTTACTTTACTATTTTTTATACTTTATTATCTTATATTATCTTATTTCTTATTTTATTTTAATAAATAAAAATTTAGTTTAATTTTAATGTACTCTAGTATGATAAATTTTATCTTACTTTATTTTATTTTTTTCAATTAATATGTATTATTTATTTATTATATTTTAATTATTATAACTTTATATCTTATTAATATAATTAAATAAAATTTATATTATCTTTTAATTTTAAGTTGATTGTTTATACGATATGTCTATATATATTAAGCGCTATGAAATTAGACATACAAGTTATATTGGTGTAGTGGTAATGGTTCCAATTTAAAACCACAAGGGCACAGGTTTAAATCCTAAGCTTGTTTTATTTTTCGAAAAGGTTATGGTTTTATATATTTGTCAAGTTTAAAAATGATGCATATAATTAAATTTTTCGAAAATGTCATGGTTTTATTTGCAATTAAGCCTATTTTTTATCCCAATGTCAGCGCCATATCAGCAGCCATGTCAGCGGAAAATTGCCATGCCGGCAGAAAATCTCCACGTCAGCCATAAAAGCCCGAAATTGGGCACGATGCATACAATTGCAAAAAATTGTAAAAGTGGTGTATATATTAGCCAAGTTTAAAAGTGACGCATATAATTGCAATTTTCGAAAAGATCATGCTTTTATTTGAAATTAAGCCTAGTTCTTATTGTAAGAACGGAACACTCCAGTTCATAGGATTTCCGTGCAATCGACACTCAGTTTGTAACAATTCTAAAATAAATGTTTACTGAATTTATATTATCAAATTATAAATTTCCACAATATCAGGTCAATTCAGAATAAAATATGGGAGAGGTAGAAGAGGGAAAAAGAGGGCGGAGGGACTTTTGTTCCTCTTTATCAACACTAATAATAAACTACGGTGATTTCTTATTCATTTGGTAACTAACTACATACCAAAATATTTTTTATCATATCTTCAAAAATGATTTAATCAAGAGAATTATTTTAGAATCCTTTTATTTATTAATAGCTCAATCCACCCAGTTTTATAAAAGTTGTAAATGCAACTTTTCACAATATCAAAATAAATTTAACCATTTATATGTAATAACAAACCAATCTTTATCCTTAATAACAATCCATGTGTTCTCGTGGTTTTGGGTATCCCTCCAGATCGAAATATGCGTGAGAACATTGCAAAATATAAGCACAAAAAGTATTTAGAAATCAATTGCGAAAATCTTATTGATGTAACTACCACAATACTACCATATAACTGATATCTCAAAATCAATAAAAAATCCCTCTGATAATCTTTTTAATTAGTTGGCAATGAGCCATATATAAAAAATTATTTATTCAAGAAGTTAAAAAATATCATTTGATTTTTCAATAACTGCGTCGAACCAGTTTTTTTTTTTCTTTTTTAATTCATATTGTGAATCACAGTATCATTACGAATTTCATATAATTAATAGATTAGAAATAAATTTTAAAATATTTATAATATAAATTATTATAAGTTACGAAAAAAATAATGTTGATGTAATTAAAATTAATAATTTCTTAACTTAAAAATAATATATATTACAGTATTTTTCAATTAAGTGTTGGCTAATAATATTTGATACTTTTTAACTTTAGCATAAATTATTTAGAAACCGACATAATATATTGTAATAAGGTATGAGTAAGAGAGAGAGAGAGAGAGAGAGAGAGAGAGAATGGTTTGTGTTATTTGATTTAAAAAATGGTCTATTATGCTATTTGATTTTTAAAATGGTCTATTCGATTTTATGCTATTTGATTTAAGAAATGGTCTATTATGCTATTTGATTTTAAAATGGTCTATTCGATTTTATGCTATTTGATTTAAGAAATGGTCTATTATGCTATTTGATTTTAAAATGGTCTATTCGATTTTATACATACGCGAGGAAAGACAAAGATCCCGTGAGTAATATTTATTAATGATTTTTAAATATGTTAAATTTTTATTATTCTTAATTATAAAAAGAATTCTAAAAAATGAAACTATTTTATAATGATGAAATAAGCATATAAATAGTATATTAAATTATTATATATCATAAAATTAAAAAAAATATTAATATTCAAAATTATTTTTATACTAATCAATATTTTATTAATTTAATAAAGAAGTTCATAACTATTGCCCCGTACATAGCACGGGCGACTGGGTAAAAAAACATTAGATAGTGCGCGTAGATGGTCAATACGAGCACCCACAATGCTTTGGGTCTCTTTAAAAAAAAAAAAATCACATGCCATGTAGAAAATAGACATAATTTATAAAAAAGTGTTTCACAATGCAATTAATTAAAAGTGGACCTAGTATAACTTATGTGGCGATAAAAAAAAAAGACCAAGTCCACTCTTGGGTCTATTTTGGACCCAAGTGTGAACCTTATAATAACAATCATTTACTATTATTATTAGGTATTCTAAACCCAGTACTTTTTTTTTGCATTGGAGAAATTTTGGACTTTTTATTTTAGGTTTGTCAATGTCATTATAGACTTAAATCTATTTATTTGCTACATATGCAAAAAGTGACCCAAAACATTGTGAATGCTCTATTAGTTAAAAAGTGACCCAAAACATTGTGAATGCTCTACTAGTTATTGATCGTATGGATATGGTGACGTGTACAAAGCGGAGTGGGTAAATTAAAAAGAATAAGAAGTAAATTGTACCCAAAAAAAAAAATAATAATATAAACAAATGAACGACACAATCCACACTCCATCGAATTGAAACACACACACACAACTAATTATACACACAACTAATTGGGTTGTGGGGGGTTTGTGTTGTGGTTTGTTGGGGGTATGATATGGTATGGTTGGAAACAGCTCAGGGTTGGGCATGCTCAGGCAACTCATTGGACAGTTAGAGGAGTTTTTGGAGCTCCACGGCTCTATTCCTCCTCCTGCGCTTCCTTCCAATTGCTTGATTCAGTTTCTACCTCCATCGCACCACAATTCGCTCAGGTCCCCTTCCAATTACTCCTTTCTTCCATTTTATTTACTCTATGTTTCGGTTTTATATCTCTTTGTTGTAATTTGATGCTTCAAAAGGGGATTTATGTTATCTGTATTACCTATCACCATTTTTAAATTGCGGATGTTTTGTAGGTAAGTATTTAGGGCTAACATTCTGATTGTTCAATTTTTTTTGTAAAAGTGTTAGTATTATGAGTCATAGTTACTGTATTATGCAAATATCATGTGCCAGTAAATGGTTCTATTTCTTATAAAATAATTTATTGGCTTTTTAGTTGGTTTGCTCAATTTAGCTCAGGGGCAACCAATTCCAGTAAAATTGTTTTCAGTATCTACAATTTTGGTTGTTCTAATCTCTGATGTCTAACACAACTATTGATTTTCTTCGAGTCTTTTTTTCCCCTCATTTTGTCTGTTATGGAGTACAGGAAACTGTTGATCTGGTTAGTAAATATACAGCTGATTTGTCTAAGGCCTCATATGAATCCTAACAAGTTGTTAAATATTTTTGTCTACTTGTTGTTGTCTTGAACTCTGTACAATGCATGGCTTCGTGGCGTTGCATTCAGTGCTATCAAAAGTTAATTTTTAACAGTGGCACATTCCATTCCATTACTCGCAGGGGCACATTTGTTAGCTTGTGTATCCGAGGTAGATGCTACTAAAACATGCATGATTTTTTGTTCAATGCAATTTTCATTTTTTTGTGCATTCATTTATTGGAAATATGGAGCTGATTAATGATTATAACAATTAATCATATTCATAAGATATCTCACTTCGGAAATAGCGTTTTCGATTGTTTAAGTTTGCACAGTCATGACTATTAGGAGGTTAAAAGTTGTGGAAAATCATTTGTACCTAATGCATAAGCATTATCGGCTAAATCCCGCACTTTTAACACTTCTTCTCATCCTTTTATAATACATGTTACACTTGGGACTATGAACCTTGTTATGTTTATTACTGAGCGTCTCTTACTGAGAAAGTGAATTTTTCAAATTTGATCAGCCGTCAACAAGTACTTCTACTGTGGATGAATAGTAGAATGATCTTTTTGTTCATGTTTAAAATCAAAATATGAAGATGGATATACTCATTACATATGATTGGGAGAACCAATATCACAGATAGAATCCCACGCCATCTTACTGTGACAAGAAGGAATTGAGTGAAAGTATAGAAACTTTCTTTCATCTCCATAGAAAGTATAGATGCCTGATGAATAGAGGAGAAGTACTTTAGTACCGATCTTCAAGACAAGGGAGATGTTCAAAGCTGTGGTAACTACCGTGGGATTAAGTTTATGAGCCATACGATGAAGCTCTGGGAGAGGGTTATCGAGCATCGCCTACGACGAGTGACGAGTGTGACCCAAAACCAATTTGGGTTCATGCCTGGAAGGTCGATCATGGAGGCAATTTTCCTAATACGACAGTTGACGGAGAGATATAGGGACAAAAAGAAGGACTTGCACATGGTCTTTATCGACCTTAAGAAGGCTTATGATAGAGTACCAAGAAATGTCATGTGGTGGGCCTTAGAAAAGCACAAAGTCCCATCTAAGTACATTACTCTCATCAAGGATATGTACAAGGATGCGATAACGTGTGTCCGAACATGTGGGGGCGACACCAGCGACTTCCCAATTAAAATAGGACTACACCAGGGTCAGCACTGAGCCTTTATCAATTTACCTTGGTGATGGATGAGGTCACAAGGGACATACAAGGTGATATCCCTTGGTGTATGCTCTTTGCTGATGATGTGGTGCTAGTTGACGAGAGTAGAGCAGGGGTAAATAGGAAGTTGGAGCTGTGGAAGGACGTGTTAGAGTCGAAAGGCTTCAGACTTAGTAGGACGAAGATCGAGTACATGACGTGCGCTTTCAGCATGGCTTCACATGATGATGGTGACGTTACCCTTGACGGGCAAGTGGTGGCCAAGAAGGAGACTTTCCGGTATTTGGGATCGATGCTACAAAAGGATGGCGGCATTGATGCTGATGTTAGGCATAGAATTGCAGCCGGTTGGTTGAAATGGCGTCAGGCGTCGGGCGTTCTCTGTGATAAGAGGGTGCCACAAAGGCTAAAAGGTAAGTTCTATAGGACGGCGATTCGCCCGGCGATGCTATACGGTGCTGAATGTTGGCCTACAAAAAGGCAACATGTCCAACAACTAAGTGTAGCAGAGATGCGTATGTTGCGTTGGTTCTACGGGCACACAAGAAGGGATAGAATCCGGAATGAGGATATTCGAGATAGGGTCGGAGTGGCTCCAATTGAGGAGAAATTGGTTCAACATCGGCTGAGGTGGTTCGGACATGTCCAACGGAGGCCTCCTGATGCACCGGTGCATAGGGGAGTTCTACAGCGGGTCGAGGATGTTAAGAGAGGTAGAGGTCGGCCTAAACTCACTTGGGAAGAGTCGGTTAAGAGAGACCTTAAAGATTGGAATATCTCCAAGGATTTAGCGGTGGATAGGAGCGCTTGGAGGCTCGCTATCAACGTGCCAGAACCGTGACTTTTGCTCCTTCCTCTCTCTCTCTCTCTCTCTTTTTTTTTTGATATATTCCTTTGGTTCGAGTCTTTTTTGTGTTTCTTGTGGGTTTCATCTCTAGCCTACCCCGACTTGCTTGAGACTAAACGCTATGTTGTTGTTGTTGTATAGAAACTTTCTTTCTTTATCTGTGTTGATTCTGCTGAATTGCTAATTGTTGATTTCTTAGAGCATCTTTGACGTGCTCTTTAAAATTGAGTTTTTGCAGCCCAGCTAAATGTCTACAAGCTAAAATAGCTAAAATGTTGAAAATCTCTATATAACCATGTTACCTACTAGAAAACAAAGTAATAAATCAGTAGTTGATATGGTTTTTAGTCACTTGTTAATTCTAATCGAAAGTAAAATTTGAATAAAAATATAAGAAAAGTTTTAGCTACTGCTACCCCTTACAATGTGTAATATGTTAATAGCTAGCGTAAAGAGCCAAAGCTATTTTAGCTTACCTTTTAAGTTCATAGGTGATTTTGAAAAATGTTGCCCCTTACCTGTTAAGGTGAAAGAGTTTTTTCTAGCTTCGTTTGGACATGCTGCTACTTCACTGTTAATTGTTATTTTATGGGGGTTATGTGAATGTCATTGAATGGTCTTTATTGGAGGTACAATTTTTATTTGTTATTGGTGCTTGCAGTTTTCATCTTGATTGGTTAATGAAGCATATGGTGGTGGGTTTATTTGCGATTTTGGATGCGTTTGGAAGCTTGTTTAGTCAACATTTATTAAAGCTTGTAATGCTTACGTTTAGGGTTAAAGATATAAAATTATTCTTTTCGGTGATATTATTTATTTTTCCACATCTACTTGGGCTCAAATAAAATGGTAACAATATTAATACACGTGATCCTTTATTTTCCAATTTCTCTGGAACAAAACTATTTTATTTTTCCTACACAAAGTGATCAAGATTTGTTCATTATTTTCCGTATGATCGGAATGGAAAATTGTCATTCTTTGTTGGGAGCCGTATTGGGAGCCGTATAACTCTATATTTTAAAAAGTTCTGTTTATCATTCTTAGGTGTTTTAATTTAAGAATATTTTTTTAGATTGCTATAATTTTGGGAAATCGTAAATCCATTCTATGATTCTAATCACCCTATATATGAGAAAAAAGTTACTGCTGAGGATCTGTTGCACTTTGTCGATAACTGTGAAATTTCTGCATGATTATTGTGCTGCTATTTCTACCAGACTGAAGTCCACTAGGATACTAAGGTTTATTTTTGTTAAATGACTAGCATTTACTCTGAATACTTCAGAATCTATAGGATGGTTGTTTCTATCTCTCCCTCTTTGTGTACCAAACCGAAAGTCCGGTAGTATATAATTATTTATGTTACATCAACAAACATTATGACTGAATACTTCAGATTATCTCCGGGACGGTGATCTCTCTCTCTCTCTCTCTCTCTCTCTCTCTCTCTTTTTCTCTCACTTAAACAAACATGCAAACACTTTCAGTATGTGTATGTCTTTGAATTATGAATGTGTAGCAATAATATACTTTGGTAAATTTCTCTTGATTACGTATATCTGCTGCAAGTTTCGGGTCATTTGAATTTGCATTTCTTGTCTAAGAAGATTGGTTGGAAACCTATTGATTAATTGACTTGTCTTCCAAAACATTTGAAACAGATATACTGTTTACAGAACGTTTCACTTAAAGGTTTATTTAAACTCTAGCAATGAAATTGTTCTAATAATCCATGTCGGAAGAAGTCGTTACCAGAGTAATTGTCTTAATTTGTTGATCAAATGGAGTTTTCAGCATGATTATATATGCACCTATTACCAGAATTGTAAACTAGAAAACAAAAGTTTTTCTATAGTGTTTCGTTGATTTAGCTTTTCCTATGAATACTGTTGATTACATCACGTTCAGTTTTGTTCATCTTTTTCCCTTTCCCCTCTCGTACTCTCTCTCTCTCTCTCTCTATCTTTCTCTATCTATCTGATTGCAGAAGTTTCGTTATTACATACCCCTTCTGTGACTTTGAATTATATGTTCTATTGACACTTTGACCAGTAACTATTGTGAATCTGGATACTGTTTGAAAACGTACTCCTACAACCTTGTTTTCCATATCTCTATTTGGTGCATTCATGTCAGAATGGCTTGGCATTTATTCTATTTCTAGTTCTTTGAATGACCAATGTTGTTGTGGATACTCTCTTATCTTTCCAGTTGGGTAGTATACCATTTGGTTGACGTTTTTCTTAAATTATTTCAAATATTATAGATCGTGGAACTAGATGATATATTTCAAGTACATAGTCGTCGTCATTTAATTGAGTGTATGTGTCGGTTTGTAGTTGCGCGGGTTAATAGAGTTGGTTTGAATTCTCTCTCTCTCTCTCCCTCTCTCTCAAACTCTCTTATCGTACCTAAAGGTAGACGCATGACACTGCAGGTGGTGTAACTATTTCAATCTCGAAGACACCTCTTTGCAAGACAGCTGGTGCAACATGATAATGAGTGCCGAAAATGTGAAAACGCTTGGACCCGGGAAGCCTCCCCCTCCCCGCAAGAAAGTGCGCAACAACAACGGTGATAAATCCCAGGTGGACGAGACGATGGACTACCGCATCTGGAAAGAATTCCCAGAAGACCTGTTCGAGTCCGTGATGGCCCGTCTCCCGATATCGTCTTTCTTCCACCTTCGGTCCGTGTGCCGCAAGTGGAACTCAGTCGTGCACTCCCCCAGCTTCTCCCTAGAGCACGCCCTCGTGGCACAGAGGCAGCAGCCGTGGTTCTACACCTCAGGCGGCGCCATGTACGACCCCGTCTCGCGGAAGTGGCGCTGCCGCCGCGCCACCCTGGCAGCAGCCACCTCAGCAACAAAAAATCCAATCGTTCTCCCCGTGGCTTCATCCGGCGGCCTCGTGTGCCTCCTCGACATCGGCCACGAGAGCTTCTACGTGCGCAACCCCCTCACAGGTAGGCTTGTAAACAAATCGAATTTTTTGGTTCGGTTCGATATTGTGATTCGGATTCGAAATATTGGAATTCGAATGTTAAACGAATCCGAATTCGAATTTGTAGATATCCGATTCGAAATTTGAATATACGATTAGTTAACGATAATAATATAAATTTTATAAATTTTATATAGTATACATACATTTTGTTTATAATATATATGTATATATATTTACATATATATTTATATATTTATATTATTTTTATGACATAATAAGTAAAAACATCCTGAATTAACAAGTTTCTCTAAAGACATGTAAAAACATAAAAATTATTTTTGTAATTATAATATTTTTCTGAAAAGGAATTTCTAATCAAATCGAATATGTTGGAATATTCTAAACGAATCGCTTACGAATCAAAGAAACGAGTTCGTTTACAAATCGAATACGAATTCGAATCCTCAAATATTCTAACGAATCTGAATCGATTATCTTAGTATTCGCATTGATTCGATCCGTTTACAACCCTTACTCACACAGGGTCTTCCAGGGAGCTTCCCCCTGCACGCGCACGCGCATCAGTAAGGGTATGGTCCCGCGTGGCAGTCGGGATGGCCCAGCATCCGCAACACGGAGGCTACAAGGTCGTCTGGGTGGGTTGTTCGGGGGAGTACGAGGTGTACGAGTCGGGAAGGGGGATTTGGGCTCATCGGGGGACGGTGCCGCCATGCGTGCGGGTCCCGCTGGGGCTGAATTTCGGGTCGCCGGCGGCGTGCGTGGGCGGGGCTCTACACTTCCTTCGGTCTGAGCCGGACGGGCTCGTGATATATGACGTGGGGAGTGGGGCGTGGGGACAGGTGGCGGTGCCGCTGCCGCCATGCTCGGGGGACCACGCGCTGGCCGAGGGGGGAGGGGGTCGCGTGCTGCTGGTGGGGCTGATGACGAAGAACGCGGCGACGTGCGTGTGCGTGTGGGAGCTGGAGAGGATGACGCTGTTGTGGAAGGAGGTGGACAGAATGCCAAATGTGTGGTGCTTGGAGTTTTACGGGAAGAGTGATGTGAGGATGAGTTGCCTGGGGAACAAGGGGTTGATCATGCTGTCGTTGAGGTGCAGGCAGGTGAACCGCCTCGTCACTTATGATGTGTCCACCCGGGAGTGGCGCAGGGTGCCTGGGAAGAGGAAGCAGTGGATTGCGTGCGGGACCTCTTTTCATCCTTGTTTGACTGCATCGCCTTAGTGTGTGTGTGTGTGTTGATGTGTTTTATCTTTTACTTGTGGCTATGCGTTCTCTAGTGTCTGTATAATTAATGTGTACTCGTGCAATGTTGTAGTTGTTTTTTCCGGGAACAACTTTAATAGTAGCAACAACTAAGCTGCCCATAATAATCATGCTCTCTCTCTCTAGATTGTATTACAAATAATTCGTGTGTAAACTTTCTTTAATATCTCCCGCTTCTCCTCTTTTGTTCATCGCTTACGAATGGAGGCTTTGTTGATTGGAAAGCAGTTAAATTTACTATTTCCTTCACTCTTTTGTTCATCGCTAACGAATGGAGGCTTTGTTGATGGAAAAGCAGTTAAATTTACTATTTTCTTGAAATTCATTTTTATCGAATGAGAAATAAATGATTAAAGTTAATCATTGAGTATGTAAAACTGTTGGTTGTGGAAATCAAGGAGTCAAGATCTATTCCACATAAAAATAGTTATTATATGTATTTAAGGATATAAAAAAATAAAGTTGAGATTAAAAAAAATATAATCAAAATTTTAAAAGTGAAAAAAATAACCGAAGCGAAATATATTTCGAATCGATTATTTTATTTAGGTCGATTTTGGTGCAATGTTCCAGTCATTAATGTGCAACTAGCTAGTTTTTTTACCCATGCATTTGCACGGAAGCTGTAGAGGAAAATTTAAATTTTACGGTTTCAATTGTCTAAAGAGTAATGCTATATGTACATAATAATGTACATACACTCACATTTAGTGAGTCCTACCAAAAACAAAAAGTTAAGTGGACCTAACTCCACGTGAGTGTTATGTACACCTCTATGTGCATTTATTATGTACTTGTATGTTTAAATGATTAAATTTTGTACTATAAAAATTTAGATCATTTTTTAGTAAAAGTAATTTTTTGTACTTTATACATTAATTAAACAGTTTTGGGCTATATTTACAAAATTTGGGCCCACAAAATTATAAAATCATAGATATTAGGTCAGTAATAGATTGAGTTGCATTTAAATTTTCAAAAACAATTGGGCCATCTTGAAATTTTTTTAAAAGTGATATTGGGCCGATGTTTAGAAGTGAGCCCGAATCCTTCAAAATAAATAAATGGTCCAAATAGTGTTGGTCTGATTTTTAAAGTGTTGAATGTAGAAGAGCCAAGAAGGTTATGTCAGTGACACGTGCCACATATCCTATGTTACTTGATTGTATAACAAGGAACAAAAGCCTACAATCTGTTGAAGTCTCGCCATTCATTAAAAACAAAGTTACCCGTGCAAATGCACGGGACCTACAAAAAAAAAAAAAAAAAAAAAAGTAATGAAAAATTATAATTCATGTTGTAATATAAGGTGCGCATGCACCTCGTCAGAATATTTTAATGTATGTGAATGACTATTTTGCTCCTGATGTAATTGTATTATTACGATTGTACCATCAGAAGTTTTCCTATAAATAGGAGCTTCAGTTATAATGAAAAATACACCGAAAAGAATACAGTTTATCTATTCTTTATAGTCTCAATTCTCTCCAGTTTTATAACACTCGGAGCACGACAATTTCGTGCCCAATGTCCCTTCCTTCCACATCGATAACATGCATTTTCATTATTATTCTCCGTCACATTGTTCTGTTCAAATTTTGGCTGGAAATTTCTCCCCCTTTCATAATTTTGGACATAGTTGCGGCCTCGTCCACGATTGTATCCTCGGCCCGAGTTATACCCTCGGTGAAATTTGTGGCCTCGGCCGGTTTAGCGATTCGGACCATATCCATGGCCACGTCCACGACTACGGCCACGCCCTGAGGTATATATCCATGCACATGATTTTGGCTGTTTTTATTTTCAGTTCCCTGTCTAGATATTACAGTATTTATTTCAGGGACCACAGTAGATCCCGTAGGTCTAGATTCATGGTTTATTATCAACAGCTCATTATTTTGTTCAGCTAGCAACAAGCAAGAAATCAAAAGATAAAAATATAGAAACCAATTTTATGGTTGGGGAATCTTCTGAAAATGATGCAACACGTGTGGATGATGACTGTGGCATCGATGACATATTGAAACTGGATTTTGCCGATGCAGTGTTTGAAGACAGAGATGGAAATGACCAGGAGAATAACTGATGATCATGTTTTTTTTATTGCTTTCTAAGTTTGTTGTATTTGTGTGTGGACTTCTTTTTATCTGTATTTCGAATTTAATCAATAAAAAATATTGTTTTCTTTTAGATCATGGATAGGTCTCGAATCCAAAATGGAGATATATGTATTGCAGATTGTGCCACTACTCATACTATATTTTTTTCGGAACGATAGAAGTATTATAAAAACTCAAAGGGAAACATAGTTCAATACAATCGAGGCCAACAGCCGAAGAGACTAAAACAAAGCCGGAAAAGAAAACTGGGAGGACACGCATGAAGCGGCCTAGAATACAACAAAGAACTAAAACCCGAAGAGGGACAACATAACCATTGCACTACATGCCTAGCCTGCCAACCAACTTCACTGAACTACCAACAGCAAACCAAAGAAACCAAAGGAAAAACCTGAACAAAGGAAAGAAAAAAGCACACAAAAACAAACTAGAATTACACAGCCCTGAACTCCTGCCAATCTTTCAGTGCTCTTTTGATCAACACATTGACAGGTAAATTGATTTTCTCAAACATCCACAAATTCCTACTTTTCCACAACCACCACAGAAGGTAAGTGGTAAGTTGTATTCTGTCCTCCACAACCTGTGTCTTCTTGATAGTGCAAAGATGCCACCACCAACTTTTGAAAGAGCAGCCTATAGCTTGAACTCCATTCCATTGAAGAGGTCCCAACATCCAAAGATTCCGAGCCCTAGGACAGTGAAAAAACAGATGTTCAATAGCTTCTGGGCCTTCACCACATCCAGAGCAGAACACATCCACATCAAGTCCCTTTCTGATCAGATTGGTGTTAACAGGCAAAGTGTTAGTCAAGCACTTCCATATAAAGTGTTTGACAGTGCCTTTGACCTTCAGTTCCCAACTCCTGAGCCGAGCTTTTCTCACCACTGCAGGGTTTGCACTTGTTCCAGGAATATCAAGAGACAATGCCTTCTGGTAAATCAGATGCTCATAAGTAGAGGAAACTGAAAAGGTCCCTTGCTTGCTAAGGCTCCAGTAAGTTCCATCATTTCTGGCAGGATTAATGGTCTTGATGCTTAGAATAGCTTGACTATCTTCAGCATTAAAAAGCTGTTGGACCAGCCAAGAGTTCCATCCTAACCCATCTTACTGCAGCAACTCCTTCACCCAAATGATATGGCCCTGGGCAATGTCTAACAGCTTAGGCTTTGAATTGGGGAGAGAAGGAACCCAGTTCAAGTCAGAAATCCTAGTAAGGGCTCCATTCCTGATTTCAGTCCTCAGACCCTGCTTAAAAACAGGCAAATAGTCCAGCCATGTATGCCAAAGCCAAGAGCCTTGCTGGGTTTTAGAAGCATCAAAGATTGAGCAAGAAGGGAAATATCTGTCCTTAAGAACTCTGCATACCAGAAGCTCAGGTTGAGTGACTAGCCTCCACAACTGCTTGCAAATGAGAGCTTGGTTGAATAAACTTATGTCTTTGAACCCAATACCTCCTTCCTCCTTAGGTAGTGTCATGAAGTGCCAAGCTTTCCAGTGAATTCCTTTTTCTTTAGTGTCACTCTTGCACCACCAGAATTGAGCACTGAGGCTAGCAATTGCTTTGCAGATAGACTGAGGGAGTTTAAAACAAGACATGGAGAACACTGGTAAAGCATCAATCACAGCTTTGAGCAGAACTTCCTTGCCAGCTATTGATAACAATTTGTTTTTCCAGCTCCAAAGTTTAGCTTTAACAGAATCCAAAATATAAGAGAATACCTCAGCTTTAGATCTGCCAATTCCCAAAGGCAGCCCTAAGTATCTAGTAGAAGTGTGGAGTTGAATACCATTCAGAGCTGCAGATATCTGATACTGAAGTTGAGAGTTGGTGTTCTTGCTGAAGTAAGCTGTTGACTTTTGAAGATTTACTTTCTGCCCTGTAAACAACCTATATCTCTCCAATAGAGTCATCAGTTCATGAGCTTGGGATATATCTGCTTTGCAGAAAAGAAGAGCATCATCTGCAAATAGAAGATGAGAAAGAGCTGGACCATTTCTTGACAGTCTTATCCCACTCAATCTACCTCTTTGCAAAGAATCAGAGATTAGAGCAGATAAAATCTCAGTGACAATAATGAACAAATAGGGAGACAAAGGGTCCCCCTGTCTGATTCCTCTGGAGGGATAGATAATACCACTAACAGCCCCATTAATGCAACAGAGAAAGTTGAAGTGGAGACACACACTAAGAGTAACTTCACAAAAGTGGAACAGAAGCCCATCTGAATCATGATTTTCTCAATACAGACCCATTCCACCCTATAAAATGCTTTCACAAGATCTAATTTCAATGCCATAAAGTGGTTCTTCCTAGTCCTATGCCTACTCAGAAAATGGAACACTTCTTGAGCCAAAATAACATTGTCTAGCAACTGCCTATCTTTGATGAAAGCAGATTGACTATAACTTATGCAAGAACTGAGACAACTTTTTAATCTTGTAGCAAGCAACTTAGGAAGCACTTTGTAGACAACAGAACACAAAGAAATAGGTCTGTACTGATTAAGAGTTAATGGATTCTGACACTTAGGGACAAGAGTAATCAAAGTGTGATTCCAGTATCTAAGAAGCATACCAGAGTCAAAGAAGCTTTGTATAGCTGCAACAAAACCTGACTGAATTATGTGCCAAAAGTGTTGGTAGAAAAAAGCTGTCATCCCATCCTCTCCAGGAGACTTGTCAGGATGAAGACTGAAAAGGGCCAATCTAATCTCTTCAGTGTCAAAAGGATGAAGGAGAAATTGATTCATATCAGAAGTGATAGTCTGAAAGATTAATGGCAGTAAGCTTTCTCCACCCCATGAGCCTTCAGAAGTAAACAAAGAAGAATAGAAATTTGTAATGTGGTCATCAATTTCTGACTTAGAGTTGCAGATTCTGTTGCCTTCAGTAACCAGCCTAGAGATGGCATTAAGTCTTCTTCTCTGGGCACAATAAGCATGGTAGAACTTAGTATTTGAGTCACCCTCTTTGAGCCATTGAGTTCTTGATTTCTGAGCCCAAAACCTCTCCTTAAAAGCATGAGCTTCATCAAGATCTTCTTTGACAGAGTCCCAAGCTTCCCAATTATCACCCCTCCCTTCAGCCCTGAGTTGCTCCAGCTGGCTAGAAAGCACCTCAATCTT